AATCAAGGCGTATCGACTACAGGTGATAGCGATGACGCTTGTGTCAAATTATCGCCTGCTTTGCTTTGTTTACATAACCGCGTATACATACACATATACGTAAATATATACCCTGAAAACAAATGCTCCCGAAATCTTTAAGAGTATCGGAAATTTGTTACGATTCTTTTAGGAATCTTTAAAGAAAAACATATGAAGCGGTTAACAAGAACTAGTAAAGAAATTTATGTACGATTTCTTAAAGATAATTCTTAAAAAAATTGTGAAACCTTTCAGAATACTCTGAAATCCTGGTATGCAGGGTATACATATACATACGAATACGAATAGATAAAGAAGCTGTTGTTGACACAAGGAGTTCATACCAACGGCAAATATTGTTTTTGTACGATTGCTACAACCTGTAGTTATTGAATCATGGCAGCAATTCTAAAAATAGTCGACAGTTCATCCGTCAATTGTAAAGTGTGGGTGTCTGTGTGTGTTTACTTGCTCTAAGTTACTCCATCAGAAAAGCTGGTGCAGAAAATCGTGCTTTAAGGCCCACTTGCAGAATATTCAAGGCTAAATTTATAAATTCAGAGTTAAATAACCTAGAGTTAAACTGTTATTTTTTTAACCCAAGCAGTGCGTTGCAGAGGAGATATTTGAAGCCGAGTTAGTTAACTCTGTCTACTTGCGGGTATTTTTGATTTTGGTTTTGCGTCATTTGTTTTGAATATTCATATTCGTCTGCTGTTTGAAAATTATAACTTCAGTAATTTCAGTGATGGCTGCTTGAATTTAGAAAAAATTTCGTAAGTCTTGTCCAATAAAACCTGAACTGTTTCTTTTTGGAGCCGAAATCTCCTATCAAACGCTTTATCATTCCCACGACAGCCGGTTCTACGTACCGGAATGACTCGGGTTTTACCCGACCAAGGGCTGTTGTTTCGGCGATCTAACCCCGTTTAGGTCGGCGAAGTATCTCAGAAGTTGTTCGTCCATAGGGCTACATTCGCTACGTATTCTTCTGCTCAGGGCTGGCATCGAGTCAAACCCAGGGCCAGAAATCTACACCTGCTGTGTATGCCAGAGACGACTACACCACAACTCCACCTCAGTCAAGTGCAATGCTTGCGAGGGATGAAGTCACCTCAGAGTCTACTCAGGATTACGGACACATCGGCAGTGGACAGCGTCATTTGTGGCCCCCTGCTGCTCAAATAGAGCAGCCTCCACGGCTAACCCCAGGCCACCTGAGCAGCTCCTCACAAACACCACACACAACAACATAACAACACAATAGACCACACCACAATCACGACAGACCACAGAACATACACAACCGCACCACCACCCACACGCCGCCGCCAACAACTCTTGGTTCCTCCTACAATCTGCACGGTATGTCAGACCAGGATATTCCGTAATATGACATCAGTCAAGTGCAACACCTGCTTGGCTGGTGCCACTTAAGGGCATGTTCAGGTCTGCGCACCACGCGAGATTGGACGAGGAACTTCGAGGGCCCATGTTGCGCTGCACGGTCGCAAACCCCAACTGCGACGCCACCCCCTACCACCCCAGGGCGGCAACCACCACAGCAGCGCACACAGCTAATGGCGTCAAGGCCACACACATCTCTCATACCCCGCATTACCACACGTCTCCCGAACCACATGAAGCTCCTTCAATTTAACTGTAACAGGCTTCAGAGCAAGATCGAGGTGATAACCGTCTTCACGGGAAAGCATGGTATATTGATAGCTGCGGCCCAAGAGACGAAGTTGCACAGCAATTCAACATTGTTTAATTGTGCTGGGTACAACGTGCACCTCGAGATCGCGAGCAAGATAATGGTGGTGGCTTAGCGTTCATCACGCACCACACCGTGCAGT